AACATGGACCGAAATGAATAAATTAATACACATTTAAATGGGAATTAATAGAAAGTAAATAATATCGAATAAATTAGCCCATAATAAGTAATAATATAATTTAAATTAATATAGAAAACAAAACGAAAATAACTGAATATAAAAACGTCGGCACGCTGAACCAACATATCTAATAGAGGGGCTACCGTTATATGAGCTGCCATTAACGTGGCTCAACATTAAACATTTTTTGTAGGGAAATGTGCTATACAATGAGTACCCAAAATATAAAATTACATCCAATGTGTAGATATATAATTTTATACTGATAATGAATATATACTTTGTGGTGTTGCAAACGGAATGACAAATTTAATATACATATACAAATTAGAGCGAAACTTTTTTACTCCCAGAATTTCAAATTTTGCTTTAGAAATTAGATTAAATAAGTACTACAGGTGTGGGTAACTGTAAACACCATATGATCTCTACATAAACACATACAACAGCGAATCCTAGTTTTTAAATTTGAAAGCGTGCGCAACATACTTTAAAAAAAGTATTAAAAATATCAGGTAATAAAATGTCACAAACTATAACTTAATTAAGGAACATTTACCTTTATTACTAACAAAATTAAAAAAAATAATTCAATGTATAAACCAAATTTTGACTTATCATCCAACGGGCTATGTAAAGCCACATAGCCCAATATGCCTGATAAGGCGATGGCGAGATATCGGCTATTATTCGGTATTTTAGGGATTATGAGCCCGTTTTTCTCGAATTGGTTTTTATCTTTCTCATTGGATGTCGAATATTCCTACCTAACATTTGCAATGGCACAAACGCAAAATATATATATGTGATCTTTGGTGGAGGATATAAAAAGTTCGAACTTATCAACGTCTTTTACTTTTTTATACCCTCCACCATAGTATGGAGAGTATATTAATTTTGTCATTCCGTTTATTACTTATCGAAATATTCATTTCCGACCCTATAAAGTATATATATTCTTGATCAGGGTAAAATTATAAGACAATCTAGCCTTGTCCGTCTGTTGTAATCACGTTATCTTCTGAAGGAATTGAGATAGATCGCCAAAATTTAGCATATAGTCTTCTTTTGTCTGCAGGCACTTCAAGTTCGAGCATAGCCCCCATATAAGGATACTGGTCTATTTTCGATATTTTAGGGGTTTTGAGCGCGTTTTTCAACTAAAAATTCAAATTCAAAATTCAACCGAATTCGCTGTAATTTGGTATTTTGTAGTCGGCTATGGTAACAAATTATCCTACCAAACATTATTAATATTCGCCCCCGTTTAGGGGTAGTTCTTATATAACCCCCTTAGTCGAAATAGTCAGTTTTACCCAACGAATTATGGAATTCTAAGACGATTTAGCCATCGGTTGTAATCATTACACTTTTTAAGGAAGTCGTGATAAAAACTCGAACCTGACGATAATGAAATATATCGCCAGCAATTAGGCATCTCCCCCATATACTTATACCTCGTGAAGGAAAGAATAGAGACACGAAACAAAAATACTGGTTTCGAAATTGACATATGTCGGTCATTAATTAGGCATAGCCCACATATAATTATAACCCCAAATATTCGCTAATTCCTACACTATGTAATCTAAATTGCAGTATTTTGAGGATTGTATATTCTACCATGCTTTATTAGTACACGCAGAAAAATATATGTTAGAAATATGTTTGCATCCAAACATATTTATGTTTGGAACTGGTTGCAAACAAATATATGTTTGGATGCAAACATATTTTGTTTGGATACAAACATATATTTGTTTGCAACATTTTGTAACATATTTTTATTTTATATGTTTGGGTACTAACATATTTTTTATGTTTGAACATATTTTTTATAGTTTGAGAGAACATTTTTTCGAAGAGCGTAACAACAGTGCTCTCTCTCTCTCTCTGTGTATGGTGCATTATGAGATGCAGAAGGGGCGAGGGGAGGGTAGTTGCACTTTGGTGGTCTGTATGCGGGCAAACGCTTGTGTTGAGTTCTATGTTGTTGCTGCTGCGAGGGTCGAAGAAACGCATGTGTTCTTTGCTTTGTTGTAACGATTTGTTTCACAAGCAGGCCCGTTTTTGCATGACGGTACCTGCGAGTCAAGTTTTTTTGGTTCTTTTTGTTTGTTTTATTCTTCAGCTTCTATAGCACATTACACGATTTCGGTTGACATAAATCTCTCATCTCTCATTCATTTCGTCACTGTCGGAGCACGCACAAGTACTTTTGTGCTTAGAGAAAAATATGTGTTAAAGAAAAGTGTTAAATAAAGTTAACTAAATTGTTAAATAAAGTGTAAGGAACAAAAAAAGGAATTAAATATGAAAAAAAGATAACATAAATTATGTATAATATAAATAATAAAAAAAAAATTGGTAAGAGTGGGTGTATGATATGTAAGCGTCCGAAGAAACATATGTGTTCTATGTTTTGTTGTTGTTGCACCGATTTTTTTCCATCGCCATGCAAAAAAGCCTGCTTGTTAAAAATGGTCGCAACAACAACAACTGGAATACATTGTCTTTCCTCCAGTAAGTGGATGCGTGAGGGCACGCGGCCGAAGAAACGCTTGTGTTATGTGCTTTGTTTCCATCGTCATGCAAAATAGGGCCTGCTTGTTGTGAAACAAATCGTCACAACAACAAACACAGAACATATGCGTTTCTTCGGCCGCGTCCCCTCTCGCACATACTTGCCTATGAGTCAAGTTTTTTGGTTCTTTTTGCTTGTTACATTCTTTTTTTAGAATTGTAAAGCCTCTCAGAAGACCAGTTCGAAAAAAATCTTCTTCAGTGTGTGTCAACACCAACATTTCAAATTGAGTTGCAGATTGGAGGTAAGAATACTGCATTTATTATTTTTTTGAATAATATATTTACATATTTTATTTTCATATAGGTTTTGTACGATTTAATAAGATATGGTAAATATCTCAAAGGCCATAATTGACGAATGAAAGACAACCCCAACAAAATTTTAATAAAGATATAAAGGTAAATATATGAATTCAAATATAAATAGACATATATATATATATATATATATTGTATCTATTTATATTTGATATTATATATATATCAGTTTATAGATACTTATAATCATATTAATATATGTAAATTTATGTTTATAATTAAAATAATATATATATATATATATATATATATTGAAATAAACTATGTATAAGATATAAATTTATTTAAAATGAATATATATATGTTTGGAAGCAAGCATAAATATGTTTGGATGCAAACATAAATAAGTTTGGATGCAAACATAAATATGTTTGGATGCAAGCATAAATATGTTTGGATGCAAGCATAAATATGTTTGGATGCAAACATAAATATGTTTGGATGCAAGCATAAATATGTTTGGATGCAAACATAAATATGTTTGGATGCAAACATAAATATGTTTGGATGCAAACATAAATATGTTTGGATGCAAACATAAATATGTTTGGGACCCAAACATATGTTATGTTTGGGACTGTTGCAAACATATATATGTTTGCTGCAAAATATGTTTGGGACATATGTTAGAGAGGCGTTTTTTTCCTCCATGTATCAGTTAGAAATATCAAGATATTGTATTTATGGTAAAATATTGAAATTAATGACGTTTAGTACATTTTATACAGGTATATGATGTTTTTGACGGTTAATAGTGTTTACAAAAGGAGAAAAAGGAAAAACAAAAAATTAAATTGCATTTCTCCGAGAATAATGCTTAAATTTCGTACAATCTTGGAATAATGTACAGAAACAAATCATTTGTCATTAATATAGTATATGCTGTCACTTTGATAGTACATGCGACATTGATGGCCCATGTGACATACGATGCAATAGAAAACAAAAATATTATACACCTAAGTCTGCTTTTACACGGTAGATGGTTCCAGAAGAAGCCGTGTAAAAAAAGACATTGATCTTATACATAAAGGGAATTCCCCTAAATTAGTGTTATTCACATTTGCTTTGACCAGTAAAAATTGTTTGAACGCGCTAAAGGGGAATTCACTTAAATATTTAAGGGAACCCCCCCCCCATTCCTGATTTTAATTTTTCAAGATTTTCAATGGGCTGGTAAATCAATTCCAATGCTTGTTAAGGTTTGTAACTTTGCACATATATATTTGAAGATTTAAAAGAGAAGAAAAATAATTTACCAAAAAAATTTGTTGTTGTTTTTTGTAATTAAATAGAAGTCCTTATTTTTGATGGCGGGCATGATAACTCCTCATTGGAATATCGGAATCCGAAAATTCCGACGGTGTTAGAAAGAGTACATGTCTGGCTTTCGTATGAACTAGGATTATTGACTTTGCTCTAAAATTAACAAAATGACGGACCTTTGAAAAAATATTTTTGGAAAATCGCCGATTTTTTGACCAAAAACCAAGTTAAAAAATAACGAAGATCTTCGCCGATTGGCTTTATCCTAGTTCATACGATAGCTATACACTCACAGAGAAACGTGTAAAAATTTGAAATCGATTGGGTTATTAGCTTTTGAGTTATCGTGCCCGCCAAACGCAAAAGAGAAAAACGCGTTTAAAGTTTGAAAAGCCCTTTAGCCGTCACTTGTTGCTGACACAATAAATCGGCTATATCTTCAAGAGTTCTTGAGAGTTTCACTTGAAATTTTGTAAGGACATTCTTGAATTAGTGTAGACTCGAATTAAATCAGTGTTCGCAAACTATCGATACTATCGTTGGTTTCAGACTTTTTTCTTTCATAAATACTTTTTTGTGATATGAACATACTTCGCAAAAATTAAATTTGACAAAAAATTTAAGAACGTAAAATTTCAAATCGTGCTAAATGGAATAAAATCGTCTAAAAAAATTAAAAATATTCAATTTTCAAACCGTGTTATATCAAAACCGTGTAAAAACAGACTTAGGTGTATATATATATATACATATTTTATGTTATTATGTTATGTTATTTTATTACCTACCTTTAAATATGTGAACTAAAACACTCGCCGCCTGCGTGTTACTTGCAACACAAGTATAGTTTCCCGAATGTTCACGCCTTGTGTTAGAGATAACTAGCTCTGAGGACTGAAAATCTGTAAGAAGAGAAAAATCGTATATTTCATTTCCCAAAAAATATGTTTAAATTGTTTGTGTTTATTAAAAGAAATATCACAATAATTTTCCTTATATCTTCTGAAATACTTTGCACAAATTGATTTGACCCCTTTTAAGAAAATCCCATGTTTCATGTACTAATACATTGTTGGTGAATGTTTTAAAAATGAGATTTGATATATATGAGTTCCTAGTGTAATTTTCAACCAATATTGCTGTCTCGTGGGATATTGATTATGAGTAGACTTCCGATTTGTCATATAGTTATTGTAGTTTCTAACCCTATTGAAATTGGATAAAACCGGTTCAGATTAAGATATAGCTCTCATATATATTTTCGTCCATATATATTCTTCCGGGAGCATCAAGCTCCCAAGGTACGCCCGATAGAAATATAATTTTACACAGCGTATTGATTTAGGTACACATTGGTCAGATAGATATAACGAATTCCACAATAACGACAACCATATAGGTTAAAAATCAATTTGTAAAGAGAGATATGAAATTATATATAAAATATTCTTTTCAATTTGGACAGCGACAATAAAACTAGATATTGAGGAAAATTATTTGTTTTTGATTCGAAAAAATAATGTCGTCATATCTATTTTTTTTTATTTTATACAAGAAATTTCAGAAAAAATGTTGGGGTTTATTCTTCTGTTTTACCCGAAATTCACCGAAAAATTGACATATCACGAATTCCACAAAAAGGTCAACCACACAAGTGAAAAATCAATTCGTTAAGAGAGATATGAAATGATATAGGAAATATTCTTTGCAATCCGGAGAATATATTTTTGGTTGAATTTTGAAAAATAACGGTAGTTTTTTTTTTGGTTGTACCATTTTCGCGTGGAGAGTAACTTGGGCATATATTTATTAGTTTTATAGTGTCATTTGTCGTAAGTGTGAACGCTGTTAGCTAAAACAATATCAAAAATAAATATTAAATTCAAGTAAAGTAATATCTTACTAAGAATTATATATATATATATATAAACCTATATATATATATACCAACAGAATCCCGTCGTAAGTGCAGTTAAATAGTGTAAGAAAATATGTATCGCATGCGTGACTATATTATCATATGTTTCGTACAGACTCTTATATGAAATTTTTTTGATAATCTTGTTATGTGTGGATCTTGAGATGACAAACTCAAATAAAAGTTTGTCTTCTATCTCCATCGAAAAAATTTGTATCTGTCACGCACATGTTACATTCTTCCTCAATTAGTTGATTTAGAACTGGATTTACAAGCAAAAATTTCGTCCATAACTGCATAATATCCTGACAACATAGTTGTGTGGAGTATAAGAATTGGTATTTAGCATGTGCGTGACGATGTCCAAAGTTAAAAAAGTATATGTTACAATTTTTTGCGCCTAAATCGCGTAATCCTCAAAATTAGATTGGTTCCAGAAGAAGCCGTGTAAAAAAAGACATTGATCTTATACATAAAGAGAAATCCCCTAAATTAGTGCTATTCACATTTGCTTTGGCCAGTAAAAATTGTTTGAACGCGCTAAAGGGGAATTCACTTAAATATTTAAGGGGACCCCCCTCCCCCATTCACGATTTTAATTATTCAAGATTTTCAATGGACTGGTAAATCAATACCAATACTTGTTAAGGTTTGTAACTTTGCACATATATATTTGAAGAATTAAAAGAGAAGAAAAATAATTTACAAACAAATTTTGTTGTTGTTTTTTGTAATTAAATAGAAGTCCTTATTTTTGATGGCGGGCATGATAACTCCTCACTGGAATATCGGAATCCGAAAATTCCAACGGTGTTAGAAAGAGTACATGTCTGGCTCTCGTATGAACTAGGATTATTGACTTCGCTATAAAAAAAAAATGGCGGACCTTTGAAAAAATATGTTTGGAAAATCGCCGATTTTTGACCAAAAACCAAGTTAAAAAATAAGGAAGATCTTCACCGATTGGCTTTATCCTAGTTCATACGATAGCTATACACTCACAGAGAAACGTGTAAAAATTTGAAATCGATTGGGTTATTAGCTTTTGAGTTATCGTGCCCGCCAATCGCAAAATCGAGCTTCAAAATGTTAGCATCATTTAAAGGTAGATGCAGATAAAATTTTAAAAAATGGTACATAAGAGACGTTGTCCAAATTTTGTAAGCTTCTAGTTCACGGCATATGTCAGCTACTTCGTTAGGTATGTGAGAATTAAATTATTCTCACATGTCCAAATATATATTATTATATTTGGTTCTTACAGAGAACTGCATATGTCAGAAGAGCTAATCAACATACACATCAATATTGACCATAATTAAAAATTTTGTAGCATTTTTTTCAAGCTTTCTAATCTCATGATTCAAGCTTGATTCAAGATACAAAATTTAGTATCATTTAGAACATATCAGTATGAATGTCTAAAACTTCCTAGTATGAATTTCTAAAACTTCCTAGTATGAATTTCTAAAACTTCCTAGTATGAATTTCCAAAACTTCCAACATATCCCAATCCTACACTCGAACAGTGATCCTAACTTCAAATTTCCAGATTCCAGCTCTATCGGTTCATGAGTACACGCTTTCTTGCGATTGCGATGAGATTTTGCACAAGGTTCCAAATTTAGCCTAATTGGATTTTGTTGAAATCGGTTCATAAGTATATTCGGTCGATTGCAAAGGGCGCAGTGCTGCTGTGTAGATATACCGATAATACAAAATGCTGTGCACCTCTTATTTAAGTTACTCTGCTTAATGCATGCTATAGGCCAGGAATCCATATTTTTTTACAAAAAAAAAAAAAAGATTTTTTACCATATACGACTACAAAATACCAAATTACAACGCATTCTGTAGAAAAACGCGCTCAATGACCCCATAATATCGAACAATGGGGGTACCCTTATATGGGGGCTATCCAAAAAATGGGCCTGTTATATGGCAGCTATGCCTAAACGTGAACCGATATATCCCATATTGTAACTTGACCTGACTGCAGACAAAAGACAAACCTATGCAAAATTTCAGCACCCTATCTCAATTCTCAATTCAGAAGATAGCGTGATTGCAACAGACGGACGGACATGGCTAGATCGTCTTAGAATTTTATCCTGATCAAGAATATATATATTTTATAGGTCGGAAATGAATATTTCGAAGAGTTACAAACGGAATGACAAAATTAATATACCCTCCATCCATACTATGGTGGAGGGTATAAAAAGGGGGTTATGTGGGGACGACCCCAAAAAGGGGGCGAATATTAAACATTTTTGGTAGGGAGATTTGTTACCATATACAACTACAAAATACCACATTGCAGCGAATTCGGTTAAAAAACGCGCTCAAGAACCCCAAAATATCGAAAATTTGGGGTAACCTTATATGGGGGCTATCCGAACTAAATTACAGCCAATTCGGTGGAAAAATACGATCAAAACTCCCAAAATACTGAAAATTAGGAGGTACCGTTATATGGGTTACCAGAAAAAGTGGCCCTATATATATAATTTTTTGTGGATACATTTAGTACCCAATAAGAACCCAATGTACCAAATTTCAGCGTATTAGGTTGAAAATGCGCTCAAGAACTCCAAAATACCGAAAATTACTGTTATATGGGAGCTATGCCTAAACGTGGACCGATATATCCCATATTCTAACTTGACCTGCCTGCAGACAAAAGACAAACCTATGCAAAATTTCAGCACCCTATTTCAATTCCTTCAGAAGATTACAACAGAGGGACGGACATGGCTAGATCGTCTTAGAATTTTACCCTGATCAAGAATATATATACTTTATAGGGTCGGAAATGAATGTTTCGATGAGTTACAAACGGAATGACAAAATTATTATACCCTCCATACTATGGTGGAGGGTATAAAAACTTTATATATTTTAAGTCTGGAGAATGTGAGCATTACACCAGTAGAATTTTATATAATTTTAGCTACCTCTTAAAATGAAATGAGGTCAAAATCAAAATGTACATATGCAGTACATATATTTGCGCATCTCTGATATACATATACCCACAGTTGTAAAGGGTATCATATAGTGGCCCCGTCCGACTTTTGTGGTTTGATTGTAGGCGTCACTCAATTCATCGACGTTGAAAGAAATTTTATTTTTTACCTGACATTCTTATTTCGACCTCAAGGAATAGTATGGGTGAGATTTTTGGAAGGTGTATTGCAGAAGAATACACCCTCAAAAAATCGTATCCATACAGTGCTTTATTGTAGAAAGTATAGTTCTTTTTTATTGTGTACCTCAAACAAACAATGATTTTTAAAAATAACGTTAGTTTATAGTATTTGTTGTTTATATTCACGGACACCCCATAATCCGTAGAATTAACAATTTCCAACCGTTCATGCATATATTTATTAGGAATAAAAACAACACAAGCAACTACTCCGTGCGTAAGATTGCATTTTTTATTGCATCTACAGAGTCGTAAAAGGAATCAATTAAAAATTTGACTTCGTTTCACCATTTTCAGTATAGTTCTTGTTGACAAAATTCCAAAGTACTAAACACTAAGCTCGACGTTTGGTCACATAGAGATCATCGAACTATAACTGTGTCTTTGACATGTTTAAGTAGAAACGGATTTTTTCTATAATAACATCCAGATCAACAAAGGAGTCTACATTTACTTACGTGTACGATCCTTTTGAATAATTACAGAACGCATGTCCATCCAATTAAAGATATTTTCACGATTCGCGATATGTTTAACATTATCAGCAAACTTCGAAACTATTGACGTTGTAATAGCTGGTGGGAGGTCATTTAAGTACAGAACAAATAATATATGACCTATGTGACTGTCTTATGAAACACTAGAAGTAGCAGTGTTGCGATGGGCAATACAGCAACAGCAAGGTAGTGATCAATAACTAAAGCATTGGAAAGCGCCTGTCTGCATCCGAACTATGTGAATGTGGTTTCCAGTAGATACAGTAATTCAGTTTA